GAATATTTATTAGAGAGACGGGGACCACGCATGTTGGTGTTGTGGTGGAGAAGGGGATGGAGGGAGGTTTGGGAGAATTGTGACGGGGGAGATGTATGGGAGGGTAGATCTGGGAGGGAGTAGGAAGAGGAGAGGGAGTGTTTAGGGTGGGGTGGGGTGGGCCGGGGATGATGATTGAATTGATTTAGGGAACACCCGCTGACTGCTTAGTGAACGAAATGGACAATTAGACACAGATCTCCGCGTTGTTACTGCCTGAGAAGAAGCGGTTGTCGTGGAGTGCAATTGATGGCCCTCTTGCTTTCTCTGGTGTTTCAGCACTCACTCCCTATATCATTGTCGCTGCAGCGCGAGCACCCCCGCAAGACTGCATTAGAATATTCGTAACGCGTTCTCATTACTCGAGCCTGTGAAAGAGATGCTGCGCCAGGTTTTTATTATCAAGCTAGATGTGTAGAGGGGACTATAGAAGGGGAGGTTGTAGCGGATGCAAGGGCGATACGGACCTTGAATTCGTGACCGAGCGCGATATAGATGATGAAATAGGCACTACGTTCATGTTTCAGCGTTTTCCCGCAGCGAAAAGCGCATTTTTAAGCGATTTCAAGATGTCGCGCAAATTCATGTATTGATACTTGAATCATTCTTGAAATACAAAAGTTGATTGAATTCACTATGAATACATTCCAGCTTGCTTGAATCGGGGAGCTATCGTCTAATTCAAGTTATCTACTGTAAAAATCAAGCTCTCAAACACACATATCCATTCAATAGTTAGCGAGTTTCTAACTGCGTGCCCGTCCATCCACGCTACCGGTCGCAGAAAGAAATCGACGATATCCATAACTCCATCGCCATCTCTCAGCCGCCCTGTCTAGTGCACATACAAGCAACAGTACCTGTCACTGTAGTAGGTACTACCGTGGTATTACTCAGGATCACTACCCGGATCGAGAGACCTGATTGCGCTCTCAACCCATCCGAGGGCCTCTACATTCGTCACGGGGACAGTAACTAAGCCTTACTCGATGAAGCCGAACCTGTTCGTGGGTTTGATCTTGGTGATTCCTCCAATGCCATGGATTTTGAAATGCGCCTCCACGTTGGCTTTAGTAGCATTCACGGAAGGTTGCCAAGATAGAGGCGGGTGAAGAGCTTCAGTCATCTTGGCGGAGGGACGTAGTCCCCACTGGGGCTAATTGACAATGTTCGAAATCGTCAGCACTGCACCTAAACCAGATTGGATGGAATGACTTGAAAGACGCTTCACTCGCGTTCCAAGACTAGCATGGTGATCAGGCATCTTTTCTGCGTAAAGAGGACCGGTATAGAGTGAGATATCCTCACTCGCGCTCAGAGATGAAGGCTTGACGTTTGGACTGTGTGCATTCAATGCCTTTTCCTGAGTCTTTCCAGTATGAATAAGAGGTGCCTTTTCTGCCGACGTCCGAAAGTCGACGAATGGGTTGTCGTCCGCGAGACGAGAAATGTGTCGCCATTGGTGGGGCTGGCGTCCGCGCGGATGTGTGATACCAGCATGACAGGGCTGTGAGACGTCGAGGAGCCAGGTCTAGCTTTTTCAATGGTACTGCCATCAGTGGCAACGTTGAACACATTGCGAGAGCTACTGTCACCCTTCCTGTCCGACTGGAGGGCGGTCTGTCCGAATACTGTTCCATGAACGGACTGCGCTACTTTGATTGGCTCCGAATGAGTGGATGCATCTCTGGCCACCCGTGCTACCTGATTGACTGGGTTGGAAGCGGACCTTTTCGATGGAACCCTCGTTAACATGCCTTCGCTTGTGCTGGTTTTCTGCGCTTCTGGTGCGGTAGCGCGCAAATGTGAGAGAAGACTTGAGCGAGCAGAAGCCACGCTACCTTAGCATGGACTGCTGGTCGACTGGCTCTGTTGTATGTGTATATGATCTAATCCAGCGAAGTCGCTGTGCGCTGCCAGTGGTGCGTTCAGGGATTCAGGTGGGCGGGGAGAGTCGTCCTGGCTGTCGTGTGAAGGAAAAGGAGTGACTGGGACGAACGAGCCGCTTGTACGGAGAGCTTTTGTCTGCGACAAGATGACGGTTGGAGAGCCTTTGCTGGATAGTAAGGGCAGGCAGCCCATAGGCGAAGGGGGCGGCAGTTCTAGGTATTCCCATCGTACTAATCCATCCCATGTTCGCATGTCCAGACCCTCTGGCCTCTGTTCCACCCTTGACGTCGAATTTGTTCGAGGAAATGACTACCCAGCTGAGGGATTACCGGTGGGGTGTCTAAATCGGCCTCATTTACTCAAGTTAGAACGGCGGTTGCTTTGCACCGCTCAACTAACGCACTAATTTTGATGGAAGCTTCTTCATCAGCTTCTGGTGTCATGTATGCGGGCAGCATGCCGGTGTTCTGCGGCAGGGTACCGAGGCGGCGGTGCTAGGTATTCCCGTCGTACTTGACCCATCCGTTAGCTGTCTGCTTGTTGCAAAGCTGTCAGCCTCGGCTTCATCTCGCAAACGGCCCACTGATCTGGCGAGCCATTCCAGCTCCCAGAAGATGGAGTTAAAGGTGTCTGACCAGACTGGGGCGACCCAGAAGTGTAACTATCCAAGAAAGCTGGGGAGTGATTGGCGGTATTCTCCATGGTCGTAGGTTTGACCACAGCATTCACCCACTGCGGGACCCGGGAGAGGTCCTTGCGGAATATATAGAAGAAAGCGCGAGACGAGCACCCTCCGGTTACAGTTCCTCGTTGCTGATAGAGTCAATGAACGTCGCGTTAGAAGCGCTAGCCGCTGTATTCGCGCTTATCCACAAGCTGGCGGAAACGTCTCGCTCGGCTCGTTCTCTGGCTCATTGTACTTGAGCTCGCACCTGCCGCAGTCCCATTTGCGCATGCGAATACCTTTCGGAATGACGTCGACCACATCGTCGATTTTCCAGTTGGTCGCAATGCCGGGGATCATGCAGTCGACGCCTTGAGTGTACTTATTGAGCGAGCTTGAAATGCAACCGTGTATTTGCCCTTTGTCTCCCGGACCTGGGGCTGCGCGGGCTGCGCTTTCGGGACGACGCCTCTATTCGCGGCGGGCTGCTAAGCTGTCCGCCACTAGTTCTGGTGGGACTGGTCCGAGTTGGAATGGTGTGTAAGGTTCTGTATACTGGAGACGTTGTGCGAGGACTGCTGATAGGACTCGTGCGAGGCTTGCGAGTGCTCTGATGTCAACCATTAGTTGTTGTTCAATATCGCTGGGGCAGTTGCTTATCTTGCGCGTCGGTACCGTCCGCGACGGCGGTGTCTCGACGAAAATCGGAGGCAGACCAGCGCCGACGGTGTGTAGGACATCGAGCAGAATGAAACGCTTGTCGACGTTCAACGTGCTCGACCTTTCGGTGCCTGCACCAGCGCAAAGCAGAACACATGGCCAACTCCCTCTGGAGAGGGTTTACCTCCACTGCTCAGAGTCTTTACATCCAGCAACGGGCCTGATGGAGCAGGCGTGGAAGGGAGGGGTATGTCGCACAGTTCTTTCAACGCCGACCCTTTAACAATGGCACGGCCTCTAATGACGAAGAGAAAGTCAGTTCAAGAGGTTTGCAGACTTCGCTATATCGGAGCTTGCCATTAAGCTTTTGTCATATACCTCATCGAGACTCTCGACCCTTATTCGTGCATGAGATTCCTCGGACCTTGTCATTGAACCCGCTCCCAATATTGGGGTTAACGGTCTCCGGTGCCTCGAGGCGTTCGGTGCTGTTGCGCTTTTGTCTGTGGGATACGTGTGTAAGTACATGTGTATCACTCAATCCAGCCAGGGGAGTGATCCAGACAACCTAAGAAGAGCATTAGGCAGGCAGCTTAACTTATTAAGACCTTTTGGGAAGGAGAGCCTCAGTGGCAACATGGGCAGATTAAGGAAGTAGACTTACTTGAAGAGTGTGCACTGAATAAAGGCAGCAGGCTTGACAGACGTGAGATCCGGAAATGAAGTTGAGTTCTGTAGGTTGTGGGTCCGGTCAGCCGAGCCGACACGTGATCACCAGAATCCTACGAGTCTTGGAGGGGCTGAGCGGAAGGGGTGTGTGAGCGTCAATGGAGAACTTTCACTTTCTCCACCCACAGCGGCAGAGCGTCGGCCGCCGGTGTTTCACCGCAAGCAAGGGCATAATCAAGGGCACAGTATACGAGGTCGATCAGGAGGCATTCGGGGAGCCACTTTGCGAGGCGCAGGGAATGCTGTTGACACAGGCAGACGGTCGATACTGGAGGCTGAGCGAGAGGATTTCAGTGGAAGAACTGGGGCAGGAGGCGGCATCCCCGGCCTCGGCAGAGTCAAAACTTGGTGAAAGGCGGCGCCTGAGGGCTGTTGGGAGTGATGATAGTGAGGTCGACGGAGACTTGAGAGACCGCAGGACAGCTGTCATGTCAACAAAGGCGGGCCTGCGGTTGCGAGCGTTCGAGCGGCGACCTGCATTATCTCGTAAAGTACCTTCTTGAGCTTGTTTCTAAATATGGAAAACGCGCTTGAGCACGATGGGATCTTGCAAAGTCGCACTCCACGGGTTTGAGCAGAGCCGGTGGTGAGCGGAAGATTGTGGTTGAAGGGGCAATCTGTACCTTGCGGGTGAATAGTGTTCATACACTTTATATACCAAACTCTGTAAATACAAGTTCGACCGTGGCCAAACAAAAAGCCGGGGAAGGGGTCTGCAAAGAAGAAGTTCTCCAAATATAGATAGGAGCGCGAGGAGGAACAATCCTATATTTGATGCTGCTATTCCATAGATACTTCGAAGTTCTTCAGACTCAGTGATGTCCAAGTCCCTCCCCTCGGCCCTCAAGCAATCTCCGCACAACGCGGTATTGTCATTCACTCCCACAACAAATCTCCCATCTGTGGCTCCGCGCCCCACCACTGTCTTCAGCAATCTCTCATATAGTAACAAATTCCGTACCCCAGTTAACACCTATATAGTACTTCTAATTTCCTCTCCCGATCATCAAATCATCAAAGCTCGTTAGCTCAATTGGTAGAGCGCCCAGCATACACAACTCCCTGTTAGCTGGTGTCCGGTCTGACCAACCGTGACTGTCAGTCGTTGGCGGAGGGCGGAACTTTGACAGTGGGCCGGGGGGAGCCTGACACTGGGTGGTTCCAAGTTCGAACCTTGGACGAGCCAAATTTCTTTTTGTCTTTTTTTTTGGGTAGGCGCGTGAGGGTGAGGGTGGGGCGGGACGCGCGATAGATAGGTGATTGTTTTTGCTACCGGTGAGTGGTGGGCTGTGGGCAGTGTTTTGTTTCGTAATCTTTTATTTCGACAACGTCTGGAACAAGCTAAAGAACTTGCTCGCCTGTTTTCTTTTGTTCGCACAATAGCGGCACTTTATATTTTTACAGCGTGCTCTCTATTCAAGACTTTACAGACGCTAAACATCCTCTATTTCGCGTTCCAAGCTCACTCCCCGGCTTTTCCAGGTGTTGGCAATACTGCTACCAATCTCCCCAATTATCGAAGAGCAACCTAAGAAGCTCTGCTCCTGTTTACCTGACTCTCAGCTCTTCATACTTTGGAGTAGTAACACAGCGTCGCAAACAACCACCAGCATCCAACACTACTAACCAAGAGATACCACTACCCTTCGCAGCACTACCCGCTCCAACAAGCTTCTGCGAGAATAGAATAACTCCCGTGTATCTATACTTTTCTAATTTCGGGCCCACGGCAAGAGACGGACGATATGTGCTCGTTATAAGCTCTGATACTCTACAGCTACTGTGGTATATTCTCTGCATTCACCACGTCGCGGAGAGAAGCTCTCATATCGGGCGATTCAAACGGGTATGAACTTGCATCTCTGTAAGTTTATCAAGACCCGCGAGACCATTGATTAAGAGCAGACACTCGCTGCAAGACGTATGATAAACGAAAGTGACAAGAAGGCTTCAAGCCTTCCATTTTTGGCTGGGCATGCGAGATGTTGAAAAGAGCGAGATAAACCAAGGCAAAGAAGAGTAAAAGGCGCGGCGAGCGTAGCGAGAGTTAGCGTTGGTTTCACATTACTATGGAGGTTCAAATATACGTATGTGTGTCACGCAAGGAGAAAATAGAGAGGCTCACAAGTAGGGGACAGAAGAGGAGGGGCGCGTTTTTGAAGAATTGGAATTGATATTGGAAGTGAAAGCCTAGATGCGTCGAACCAGGGCAGTCTTCCTGACAGCATGCATGGGAATGGAACAAATATCAAATACATGAGTTTCGGATGTACTGCGACGAGCGCCCGTCCAATGTCCCGCAATTTGTGCCCCGACTCGGCAAATTGGCCCTTGTGCTCCTCCTATCACGAACAGCTATCTGACGACTTCCTAAGCTACGGTATTCCGATCATCCCACTTCCCCTCAACCCTCACCCAAACAAGCGCCATGGGGAGTACCACGGCTGACTCTTGGTACTCTCGTCGCCCTCAGACTTATCTCCTTCTTTCTTCGGTGTTGTAGGGGTGGCTAGTGCGAGGAGCTCCGGCAGCTCAGGTATCGCGGTCTCGAAAGACCGAGTCGACGAATAGGTGTCTGCCCTGCTGGGCGTAGCGGGTTGGCGATCCAGTGAAGTCTTTCGGGCAGAAGCGATCATGAATCATGCTATCATGTCGTCTAGTGTCGTGATATTGGCGCCTGGATTTGAATCTGAATCTAGTGTCCAACACGAATTAGATTAGCTCGGAAAGTCGCCAGTGGACACTCGAAGGGTAGGCTTACCTTCTTTTGGCTGATTTGTTTAATGCAAGGCCGTGACATCTGATCCGACCGTCCGAAACAGAAAGGAAGGCTTTTGATCCCCAGAATCCTTTCTACGTCCCACGCGACGGATCCAGTCCCGATGGCAGTTGAAGACGAACAAATTTGATGAAATGTGGTTGGAAATGAGGCGGAGGGATACTTTTCCGAGCGAGGAGATGTAAATGCGAGGGCTCGGTTGTGGGAGGTGGTGTTTGCTGTCGTTTCAGAGTGAGCTCGTTGCTACTTGCTGGTATGGTCGTGGGTCGAGAGTACGTGAAGTCAGAAGGAATAATGGCCTGAGGTGCACAGTCAATAAATAGAGGGTAACTTCGTATTCACATGTGCGGGTCTCAGAGGGGAGTCAGGATTGAGGCGGTAAGGGCCAGAGTCTGGACGTGCAAGCTGGGTGAATCAATCCAAACGAGCACATGGACATGAACCAATATTCCGAAGCGCACATGTCTAGTGGCGGTGCGTAAGGTCTTCGCGGCTGCGCCGAAGCTGCGAACGAAAGGAGTGCTTTTGGTGCCATCTCGCTAGAAGTTAGACGTCTCAACGCTCGAGCCGGCATTCGGCGTGCGATTGAAGGACGTAGAAGCCGGTGGAAGATTGCTGGAGTGTTTTGGCACCGCCCGGAAGTGCGGAAGTGCGGATAAGTGCATGCTCGTGCTGAATCATTCGTGATGTTTGGAGGGAATCTTGGCTGAGGCATGAAGTAGGCGGCTCGGAAAGACTCCAAAATTTGAATACCCACAGCCCGTGAAGCCGGAATGCTTGCTTTTAGATATTGTGAGGCGACCAAGGAAATATAATCGACCACTGGAGAGAGTACCAGGACTTTCGGAAGGCTGTCCAAGCTGGAGCGCAGCGCTAAGCTCTAAGGTCGGAAGGGAAGTCGATGCACGTGTGGCTAAAAACATATAAAAATTAGCAAACAAATATCAAGGTGGCGAGAGCGCACTCTCAAAACTAGGCATCAGAAACACAGTCCCGAAAGTGCGGGCGCCAGAGACAGAAAATATTGGCCATGGCACTCCGACTACGAAGACTGAGGTTGGAGGCAGCCTGGCACGCTAAGCCGAATCGGACTAGTGTCGAACGCCATGTCGCAACACGATGCAACGCTAGACAATGCCATTCAGGCCCGCCAAGAAAACTTCAGGGTCTAAGAATATCGCTGTGCTATTCTGCTAGTGTTACAGTGTCTTCCTAGAGGCTAGAAGCTCTAAGTGCATGCTCATTCGCTGCCCTTAACGCCGAGGTCATCATAATCCCTTCTCATTTTAATCTAAATTCATATGTATGCAGAGACCTAACGTACTTTACAAGCGAGTCGGTAATACAAGCGAGTCGGTAACCCCACCAACTCCTCACACCTTTGCAACGAAGCAGCTTAACAACAACTTAATTAAAGTAGATAAAATAGATGTCTAAGATTAAGTAGTAGCTACTGCATCTTTTTTGCACGTACGTGAGTTGTGCCCAGGCTCTCTGCAGCGCGTGCAGCGTGCAACAGCCTGCCTGCTTCTACCTGATTGCGCAGCTTCTTGACGCCTTTCCTGCTCTACCTGCTGCTTTGTAATCTGCTGGGCAACTATAGCCTCTCCTTCTTCCTGCGTTAAGGTCCCTTGCTTCTGAATCCGCTTTCTTTTGTGTGATTTACGCTTGTTAAGGGTCTCATTTGCCTCCTGCAGAGTTGAGACTTGATCGCGGAGCAGCGCCATAGAATGGACTATTATCTTAGCACCTTTTGTAAGCCTATTAAGCGACTTAATGATAGAGGTAGGTGAGGATCCTTGGTGTCTCTGAAGCCTGCTACGAACTAGAGTCGACTGAGCCTCTAGTTTGCGCGCGTTACTAGGTGTTTGAGACTCCCAAGGAGCTGCTACTACTGCTGGTGACGGCGTACGAAGCTGCACATTGAGCTTTAATAGCACTGCGTCTGGATTATGAGGCACTAGGCTAGCGCCTCTGAAGCTTGCGCAGATGTTGCTCTTGGTAATTGACTGCTTAAAGGCTGCTTTGAAGGCTGGTAGGAACTTAAGCTTCGTGATATGGTTGATATGGCTGCGAATTAGGCCCTCGACCTGACGCGCGTACGCGCGCTTTAACGGCGCGAAGCAGCCAACATTAAGCAGCTGCAGCAGGTGCGAGGAATGAGGTGGCATACAGAGGGTATAGATGTTGTGCTCTCTGCAGAGCTCTTGAAATTTGAGAGATTGATGACTCTCGTGGCCATCTAGGATAAGCAGCTGGCGCGCGCCTACTATCCTGCTGCTCGTGTGCTTAATGAAGTGCTCTAGCCAGGCAACTCCAAGCTCGTTGGTAGTCCATCCATTGTCGCTCACAGAGATCGCCCAGTCGCGTGGGAGGCCCTCCTAGTACCAGGCTGATAGATGATAGTGGCCAGCGAGGATGATGAAGGGTAGGATCGCCCACCTAGTAGCGTTGATTCCTTGGATGACTGTTACCCACTCTTGATTGCCTGGCTGGATAGCTTTTGGCCTGCCACGCCTCTCTGACCCAGTAACTACTAGCTGTGAGGTAATCATGCCCATCATGAAGCTAGCTTCATTAAAATTGTAGGTATCCTCATCTAGGATACCGTACGTAGCCTGGGTGCGCTCTACTAGCTCAAACCAGGCGCCAATTATCCTAGGATCCTCGCATAGAGCTCTCTGTTGATCATAGGCCTGATTGAATCGCGTAGTGAGCCTCTCTGTACGCTTAACAAAGTTTAATAGCCACTGCTGGCCTACCCGCTCAGCACCGCGGGTATTGAGCAGCTTGTTGGCCATATCTCGTACAGCGTTGAGAGAGGGCGCAAATCCTCGTAGATCTAGGTCCAGTATATGCCTAACAACAACCTCCTCTTCAAGCTCTGTAAGCTTCTTAGATCTAGGCTGGCAATCGCGTCGCGCACGCTTCCCAGCGCGTCGGTCGTGTAGGGTCAATTAAGGGACGTTAAACATTGCTACAGCCTTATTCACGCTTTGAATTTAGCCTTGATCGAGAGCTAAGATAGCAAGGAGAATATTTGCTTCGTTACAGGGCAATTGAGTAGCAGGTGGTTGAGCCATGGTTGTTGATAGATGACGCGGCGCAGAAAGTTGGTGGGGTTACCGACTCGCTTGTATTACCGACTCGCTTGTAAAGTACGTTACTTACACATAGTAACATCACCAAAAACGACACATTGATGCCAATTCAAATGCTCACTCCTTATCCAACCAATTCGTCGCCCCATTTACAATCCCCGTCGCGATTCCAATCCACTTCCACATCGCCTCTGGGTCCTTCTCATCAATTGCCTCCACGATGCCGGGGAAGGTGGCACCGGCATAACCCGTCCATTTGCCAGGAGCAAAGACAATATGCTTGAACCACGGCCGCTCATCCAGGCC